TATATATATATTTTTTTATTTTTTATTTTTTTTAAATTCATATTAGTGGTCCGCGGGATTTAAAATGATGAATTTAGTGGTCCAAGAGTTCCGAAAGGTTGGTGACCGCTGTTTTAAATGACGCCTTAAGACTTGTTAGTGGTTTACACGTGTTATTCTGACAACAGATATACTTTGAATGTCTTCATTTATTTCCTGCTCTAAAGTACCATGTGTAGCCACTAAGTCATCCTTCCCAGCATGTAGAATTCGGAAACCATGCTTGTACATGCCTTTATACCTATTGTATAATGTTGTCTCTATCAAACTGTAGGCCCTAGCAAATTAAGCACGCTTTCTATTTGTTTTACATTATATACACAAGTTCACAGTGCTGTGGATAGGTTAGTAAAGTAAATAATAAGCATATATAAGTAAAAAATATAAATAGACCATGGAAGACCATTGCCTCAGCTGTATTTACAGTAGTTTAAAAATAAACACTAAGTCAAAAATACAACTTGAATGGTAAATGAGCCTTAAAGGGAATGTATGTTCTGTACACACCAGGAACCAGGGCCGGACTGGGACTAAAAATAGGCCCGGGCATTTTAGACTGAGCAGCCCAATCACGTAACGACCAACAGTTCTGCCCACCATAGACCTCGCAGAGCTCACCACAGATCCTGCAAAGCCCCCTTGAGACCAAGCAAAGCCCCCCCACAGATCCTGCAGAGATCGTGCAGGATCTCAGGGGGGCTCTGCAGGATCTGTGGTGGGCTTTGCAGACTGCAGAGCCCCCTCAGATCCTGCAGAGCCCCCCAAAGGGGATTGCACAGCACACCTGAGACTCTTTGGTGGGCTGTGCAGAATCTATGCTGGGCTCTGCCAGAACAGTCCTCTTACCTTGCACGACCTGACCTCTTTGGAACTCGGCCTCCTTGTCCTCGGCGCCCGACTGGAGCTTCGGCGACGCCTCCCGCCTCCTCCGTTAGTGTCTCTGCCTCTTCCGTGTCTCCGCCGCTTCCGACTCGGGGGCACTCAACACATTTTTTTCTCTCATGGGGGCCGGTTGCCACATTTCATACTTTAAAATAAAGTGTAACTATATCCAGTTTAAGTACTACAGACACCAATATACACACAATAAGGCCCTATTCATATATGAAGTTTTAGCTGCGATTAGGGATTCCTGCATCAGAAACTTGCATTTTACTGCAGCAGAAATCCCTAATCTGGCGTTTACAAGTGACAGCTGTCACCTATTCAAGTTAATGATCAGGTGACAGCAGCTCCATGTAAACGCATGCACACCGCATGTAATGATATGTGATATGATTACATGTGTCCAGGGAGAGTGATTGATTCCTAGCGGAATGTAAACATATCATGTAAACATATCATGTATTACATGCGGTGTGCAGGCATTTACATGGCTGTTCGGCCCGTCCCGGGCCCTATGCCGAAGCTGCTGGCCGCTGATGGGTGCTGGGGAGGGGAGATGCCGGGAAAGTGCCTGGTATGCCCAATGGCCAGTCCGGCCCAGTCGGCTGCCAATTAGGGATGAGCCGAACACCCCCCTGTTCGGTTCGTATTCAAACATTTGAATGGCCGAAATGTTCGATACGAAATCGAACTCAATGCAAGTGTATTGGGGTCGAATGTTCGACCCCCATACAGTTGCCGGTACATGTAATAAATACAGTGTACTGGCCCCCTTACCTCCGCTGCTGTCCCGGCCTTCGGTCCCCTGGTCCGTCTGCTCGCTGTCCCGGCGGTCCGTCGGCTTTTCTCCTTCAGTCCGGCCACGGCTCCTCTGCCCCGCCCCCTGCCTCCACTTTGTCTGCAGGCTGGGAGCCATACCTTCAGGCCCCTGGGGGGGTTGGCGGGGAGGGGGGCGCATTGTGGAATCTGGCCTTGGGGCAGCAGGGAGAGTAAATCCCTGACCATGCACATACCTTGTTCTTGCAGTCTTCTCTTCCTTATCAGGGGGAGGGGTGGCGATTTGCATATGAATAAGCAGCGATATTTACATATGAATTGGTCGCGGCTTATTGATATGCAAATTACCGCGGCCCATTCATACGTTAATATCTCGGCCGTTACCGGGGCAGTGCAGGCTGCAGGAACAGCACTAGCAAGCTCCGGAAAGAGCAAAGAGTAGAGAGAGCGGGGGGAGGAGGTGTTTTTCTGGCCTCCCCCACCAGCGCCCTCTAGTGTCTACTGTGTGGTAGTGCCGGCTCTGCTCACTACCACAGAGTAGACACTGCTCTGCACAGAGCCGGCCATCGG